TCCCTGGGTGATCCCTCCTCTCCTCTGGGTGATCCCTCCTCTCCCCTGGGTGATCCCCCTCTCCCTGGGTGATCCCCCTCTCCCTGGGTGATCCCTCTCTCCCTGGCTGATCCCCTCACCCCGGGGTTGGATCCAGATCCAAGAAAGCCAAGGTTGGGAATCTCCTCCTTCCCAACCCCTCCTGGCTCCCCTGAGCGGGCAGTGAGATCCTCCCGCCCCGAGCTCTGCCGACCAGCGGGCTCAGGTGCCAGGGAGGTGAACTGGGAGCCCAAAAAGGGCCCTTTCCCCCCGGCCGGGTGTCCGCGGGTGCTGCCGGGAACGCTCGGCTGTTCTGCCGCTCTCCGGCTGCGCTGCCGTCGTGTCTCTTCCCATCTCATCACTGGGTGTGCGGCGCTCCCTCCTCGCGGGGATGAGTCATCCTGTCCCCCCCAAACATTCCCGGGCACAAAAACCCCCATCCCTGGGGGGCCCTCCCTTCGTCCCTCCCGTGGTGGGACCCGGCGGGTTCCCATCGCATCCGGGGCTGCCGGCACGGAGAGAAACCAGGAGCAGGGTCCCGGTCTTGGGATCAAAATATGACCCAGTGAGGGGCTGGGAAGGATCCGTCCTGCTGTGCCAACCTCCAGTGCCAACCGAGAAACAGCCACGAGATGCTGCTGGTTGGGACCCTTCACCAAAACCCCCGATCAATTAAGTGAGCCATTAAATCATGAGCGGCCCTAAATCCCGGGAGCTGCTCTGGGATAACACCGGGAGGGAAATCACCGGAAGTGCCCAAAACACTCAGATTGCTGCAAAAGTTGGATTCATCCCTGTCTGAGCCGATGGGTGGGTGAGCTGGGTGGGACGGGAGGGGCTGGTGGTGACGGTCCCTCTCCAGGCCACATCCAGGTGGGACCAGCGCCCTCCAGACCCCGGGGGTCTTGGCAAACTCGGTCACCCAGCTCTTGGAATGCCTGGGGAAACCTGGCAGCCAGGAACAGCCAGGGACTGGGGCGGGAGGCACCTGAGTGTGCAGAGAGCCTGAACCCATCACCGGGGGGCTGCACCCACTGAGGGAGAGGGGAGGGAGCCGGGCAGGGAGCCCGGAATGACGATCCCTGGGGATGGCAGGGGCTGGGGAGGGACTGGCAGCCGGGGGGAGCCGGGAAGGTACAGCTGGGAACTCGCTGCAGGGAAGGAAATGGTGTGAAAAGCACAGAAAGGGATTTAAAAAGACAGAGCTGAAGGAGAAAAGAGGGTGCGGGAAGGAGGGAGGGGAGGAGGCAGCGCCAGCCCACGGGGGGGGGGGGGGATTTTCTCACCGGGGGATGAAGGGAGGAATGAGGCACCAAACAGCGGGAAAGCAGGGGAATCCAGTCCCTGTGGAGAGGCTGTGCCCTCCCAGCCCCGGGCTGTGGCAGCCGCTCCCCTGCCCGTGTCCCCTGTCCCCCCACGGCACGGGGACAAAGCTCTTCCCCCCTGGTGGCACGGCCAAGCCCACCCGTGCCCATGGAGCTGGCACTGGGACCCTGGGAAAGGCAGCCCCAGGAAGAGGGACCCCGGGAAGAGGGACCCCGGGAAGAGGGACCCCCCACCGGCTGCCCATGCCAGGGAGACAAAGCCCTTTCCCTGGCATGGCACAGCCAGGCCCACCTGGGTCACTCCCAGCTCCGTAGAGGTGACACTGGGATGCCAGAACGAGGGATCCTGGGAAGAGGGACCTCGGGAAGAGGGATCCCACCCTGGCTGCCCATGCTGGGACACAAAGCTTTTCCCATCATGGCATGACCAAGCCCAACCTTGGTATTCCTGGCTCTGTGGAGGTGACACTGGGACCTTGGGAAGAGGGACCTTGGGAAGAGGGACCCCGGGAAGAGGGACCCTTATGCAGTGCCCAGCTCACTGGAAAGCTTTGTTCCCGCCTTCCATAGCCTTTCCCAGCTCCATGGAGGTCACAATGGGACCCTGGGAGATGGACCTCAGGAGTAGGGACCCTGAGAAGATGCTGCCCACGCCAGGGAGACAAAGCTCTTCCCGCAGTGTGGCAGGGCCAAGCCCACCTGTGACCCTCCCTGCTCCACAGAGGTGACACTGGGAGCCTGGGAAGAGGGATCCTGGGAAGAGGGACCCCAGAAAGAGGGATTCCAAGAAGAGGGACCCCTAACCAGCTCCCTGTGTCGGGCAGATGAAGCTCTTCCTCGGCACGGCGCAGCCAAGCCCACCCGTGCCACTCCCAGCTCCACGGAGGTGACACTGGCACCCCGGGAAGGTGGATCCCAGGAAGCAGGGACACTCTGCTCCCAGCTACGGCACAGCCACCAAAAAATCCTCCCACACCAAATCCTCTTCCTTTACCAAAACCCACCCGTTCTGCCGCCAAAAAAACCCCCAAGAATTATTTTTGCTCCCCACAGCTCAGCTCCCCCTCGTACAGCCAGTGCCAAAACACCACAGAGCCAGTGCCAAAACACCTCAGAGCCATTGCCAGAACACCTCAGAGCCAGTGCCAAAACACCACACAGCCAGTGCCAAAACTCCTCAGACTCAGTGCCAGAACACCTCAGACCCTGTCCCAAAACACCAAACACCCTGTGCCGAAACACCTCAGACCCAGTGCCAAAACACCTCAGAGCCAGTGCCAAAACACCTCAGAGCAGCACAATCCCCCCAAAATCAACCCCCTTGGGAAACAAGGGGAGCCTGGAGGCAGGGCCTTGGCTGCCGACACCCAGGACGGGGCTGTTCCACAAAAGGGTTGGAAAAATTGGAATTATTGCCCGCGTGAATCGATGGGACTGTGTCGCCGTCTCCCGCTGCGCCGGCTGGGCAGGGAAGGGGCGGCCCTGCCTGTTCTGCACTGCACTGTTGTTGTTGTTATTATTGTATTTTAATTTTAGTCATTAATTATTATTACTATTTTGTCATACATTTCCAAGCCGAAACCGTCCCAGCCCCAGCAGATGCACCAACCCCGGCACACGGCACAGCCTGTCCCGCTCTGCCCGCCCGGGTCTCCCCAAGCACAGCGGAGGAAAACCGGGAACATCCCCCCCCATGGCCAAAGATCTGCCCGGGGAGGTGATGGAGAAGACATTCCGGCTCTGTTCCACAGGGAGAATCCCCAGTGGGTGCCCATCCCGCCGGGACTGGGGAGCGGAGGGTGCAGGGGCCGTGCAGGACCCACCGACTCGGACACGGCCCGACCCCCTCGGCACCCACCACGTCCCACCCCGCTCCCCCACCCCACCGTGGGTGCTGCCTGAGGACCTCGGCTCCCCACTGGCACCCTCCTGCTCTTTGCTCTTCCCGGCTTTCAGAGGATCATGGAATGGTTTGGGCTGGAAGGGCCCCCAAAGCCCACACGTTCCACCGGCCCAGGCGGATCCGAGCCCCGTCCAGCCTGGCCTTGACCCTTTGCCGGACCCTCCGGGGTGGTGCTGCCCGTCGGGGGGGTCCCTACAGACCCCCCCACCCCTAAACCAGCCAATCCTCGGGCTCGGGACAAAGGGGTGGGGGAGGACCGTCCCCCCGGAGCAGCCCAGCGTCCCCACATCCCTCCCCCGAACCCCGATCCCCCCGCGGGGCTGGGGACCGCGGCCACCGGGGGAGCCCCCGAGCCTCACCTGGGTCTCGGAGAGGTTGAGCTGCCGCGCTAACTCCGTCCTCTCCCTGCCCACCACGTACTGGCAGCGCTGGAACTCCAGCTCCAGGCGGTAGAGCTGCTCCGCCGTGAAGGACGTGCGGGTCCGCTTGGGCCGGTCCAGGTCCAGCCCCTTGGGCAGCACGATCTCCCGGATCGTCCCTTTGGCATCTGCGGGGGGGGGGGGAAGGGAACGGGAAAAGCCGTCAGGAAAAAAACATCTCCGGGGACTGGTGGAACCGGTCCAGAAAGCCCAGTTGTCGGGGCAGGAAAAGTTAATTAAATCGAATTAAAGACCGGCTGCACCACCAGCCCTGCATCACCTCCCTGGTGCCGCCCCGAGCGTCGGGGCTGGATGCAGAATGTCCATGAAAATCCCGCGAGCTGGAGCTAAACGGGCACCATCCCATAGTTTGGTTCTCCCCTCTGGCACCAAACGCCGTAAGTTTATAAATATCCAGGGAGCGGCAACAAATCTCCATAAATTATGGGGTTTTTTAAAAGACATAAATAGAAACCATAAAGTTTTTCGGGAAAACAGAAGGTTTCATTCCGGAAATAACAGTTGGGAAAGCCAGGAGCAAAAAGCAGATTTATACCAAGGAAGAATTAGAATGAAAGGTTTGTTTAATTAAAAATATATGTTTTGGGGGGGTTTTTTTTGTGTCCTTCCTTGGGAATAATGGAAAAATTTACCTCTCTTACAATTCCCTTCTCTCCAGAATTATTCTTGCTGAAGGAACATTTCCTGGGAAAGCAGCAGCTCCCATTTTGGGGCAGTTTTACGATTAAGGGACCGGTTTGGGAAGCGCTGTGGCCCTGACCTGTTCCAGCAGCGAATTTTACGAGGCTGGGAAAGGCTGAGACTGTCCAGGGAAACAAAAGCCGGAGGGTTTAACTCCCACGTCGGCTCCGTCCACGCCGTGGGACGTGGCTCGTGGCCACTCCGAAGGAGCCGCCGTGGCTTCGCTTCCCGCTGGCAAAGGAGCAGCTCTCCCAAAAAACCCCCCGAGCCCCCCGAGTGCCAGGAGCCTGGCCCAGCTCTCTGTGCTGTGCCGTGGCACTGCTGGTGCTCCCGACGTGGCACCAGCAATTAAAAGGAGCCTTGGAAATCACCCACCGGGTCCTGCCAGACCCCAAACCCCCCGTGCTCCTCGTGCTGACCCCCCTCGAGCTCCAGTAACACCAGTGGCAAACTGGTTTGGGTGAGCCCTGGCCACAGAGCTCCCTGTTCCTGCCCCGTGGCTTTTCCAGAGGGTTAAAAACCACTGCAGGGAAGCGGCCCCGCGCCAGGCCCTGATTTTGGGGTGCTGGTTCCCAAGGCCGGAGGGTCCCCAGCAGCCCTGGCTGGAGGGCACCGGCTTTCCCTCCCCCTGGCTGACTCAGACGGGAAGGGATTAGAAAAGTGCTGGGGTAGGGAGGGGGAAAATAGCCAGGAGAAGCCTGGGAAGGGGTGACGGAGACGGGATGGGGACGGCAGAGCTCGGGTGGGGATGGTGGAGCTGGAATGGGGATGGTGGAGCTGGGATAGGGGCGGCAGAGCTGGGATGGGAATGGCGGAGCTGGGGTGGGGATGGCGGAGCTGGAATGGGAATGGTGGAGCTGGAATGGGGATGGCAGAGCTGGAATGGGGATGGAAGAGCTGGGGTGGGAATGGCAGAGCTGGGGTGGGGATGGTGGAGCTGGAATGGGAATGGTGGAGCTGGAATGGGGATGGCGGAGCTGGGGTGGGAATGGTGGAGCTGGAATGGGAATGGTGGAGCTGGAATGGGAATGGCGGAGCTGGGGTGGGAATGGCAGAGTTGGGATGAGGGCAAAGGAACCAGTGTGGGGTGGTGGATCTGGGATGGGGATGGTGGGAGTGGGGAGCAGGCACAGGTTTGGGAGGTCTGGGAGAGGGACCCCACTCCCGAAGCCGGTTTCCCACCACATGGCAGAGGTGCCATCCCGGCAGGGCCGCGCTGGCTCCGGGCGGCACCGAAGGAGTCACCGGGGCCTGGGGACAACCAGGGTGGGAGAGGGTCTGGTGGGACCAGATCCACAGCCCACAGCCCACGGGTGGGCACGGGGCCGCGGGAAAGGAAACGGGTTGTGGGCGGCTCGGCGGCTTTTCCGGTGGGATGGGGACGCCGGCCCGGGAACCATTTTGTGAGGGGAGAGCGGCGGCAGAGACGATGCCCAGACCACGTCCGCACGCCCGTGCCCACGCCCGTGCCCACGCCGGCCCCGCGGCACAACAACAGCCGGGGCTGGTGGCTCGGAGCCGCAGCTGCAGCTCTGCCCTCCGCCCTCGCCGCGCCGGCATCGCTCGGGCATTATTTATTGTTATCCCCCCGGCAGCTGGGCCGCGGGTGGGGGAGCAGCACCGGGGGGAAGGGAGGGAAGGGGCACAGCCCACGGTGCCAGCTTGGCAGAGGAGAGGCAAACCCCTCGTCCCCCAAACCCTCGCCCCCAAAACCTGCCGGGCACCACAGACCTTCCCCGCTGCGGGTTTTGGGGGCCCACAGCCGTCCCCCCGTGCCAGGAAGGGCACAGCACCACCCTGCCTGCAGGACCCCCTCTGCAGAGCCTTCCCCCATCAGCTGCCGGATCCCGGACCCCCAACACCCACCAGGTCCTGCCGTGGCTGCCCGGGGGGTTCCCGCAGCCCCCGGCCTCGCCAGCGGGGCCCTGGTGGCACGTCCTGCTCTTGGGGACCGGGATACACCTGATGGCAGCGGATCCGGGACAAGGCCTGGGACTGAAATCCCCCGAAAGAGCCCAGGACACCCGTGTGCACAGGGCACACCTCTGCCTGGCACAGGGACACCCCATACACACCCATGTCCACAGGGGCACCTCTGCCTGGCACAGGGCCATGCCACACACCCCCATATCCACAGGGACACCTCTCTCTGGCACAGGGACACCTCTCCTTGGCACAGGGACATCCCACACACCCTGCTGTGCGTGAGGGTTTCTACACCAACGCAGCTGCCAGCACATTTTGGGGCCCCCCCTCACCCTGTCAGCTCCCCAACACGTCTCCCCAGTCCCTCTCCGTGCCATGGGGAGGTCCTGGTGGCACCTCGGGACACGCTGAGGGGCACAGGAACCTGCAGCCCTTCTCAGTGCATCCCAAACACCACCGGGGTCCCCCCACGTGCTCTGCGACCCCCGAGCCCAGCACCGGGGCAGCCCCGGGAGGTGACCGGGAGGAAGGGGGGGAGCACCCCTGGATGTGCCCCCACCCCGTCCCGCCGCCCCCGGGACTGCAGCGGCTGCGCTGGCAGCGGGACCGGCCCCGGTGCTGCCCGGCTCCCTCCGCCGCCGAGCCCTTCTCCCGGTTATCCCCGGGAAAAACCACCCGCAGGCGGCCGGGAGCCACCGGGCCGGTGAGACGGGGACGGCCGGGGGGCGAAGCGACCCCGTCCCGCACGGCCGGTCCCCGGTACCGAGCTGTGCCAGGCAGCGGACCGAGACCCCGAGAGAGCCCCGCCGGAGCGGGGGGCTGCCCAGGACCCCCGGCCTCACCAAAGGCACCGCGGGCGAACCCCGGGGCTGGAGCGGGGTCCCGGCAGCTCTGCAGCAGCCGCCCCGCACCGGGGCCGGGGCTGGAGGGGCGATGCGGCCCCGTCCCCGGGGCTGGCGGCGAGGGCGGAATTAAAAATACTGAAGATTACATTTTAAAAATATAAAATTAAGCATTTTAACCTCCCACTTTGCATAGAATCGACCTGGAGCTCTGCCCGGGCCTGGCCGGTGCTTGGCCCCGACCCTGCCCGGCTGCGGGACCCCGGCCGGGGGCGGGCGGGGAACGGCGGGCCCGTGGCCCCGCACACCCGGTGGCCCCGCACACCCGCTGTCCCCGCCGCGTCCCCCCCGCTTCATTTCGGCTCCGTTCCCGGTTATTTGCGGCGATTCTCCCCGCCACCATTTTGTCCGCACCGTGGCGGCTGCAGCAAGATGGTGAGACCGGGCGCTCCTGGGTGAGGGTCCCCGGGGCCGGGGGCAGCGGAGACCCTGCCCCGGGCCTGGGCACCGACCCCCACCCCGCTCTCATCCCCGGGACCGTCGGGAGGGCCTCGATAGGACTGAAACCGGCGGAGGAGAGGCCTGACCCCGGCCTGACCCCGGCGGGAACGGCGGCGGCCCCGCTCGGGGACCCCCGGGACGGGGGGATACCCCGGGCGGGACCCCCGGGCTCGGCCCCCGAGCGCTGCCCGCTGCCCCGCCGCGGTGCCCGGAGAGGGCTCGGAGGGCTCGGACTGCGGCAGCCGGGCTGTCAGCGAAAGGCGCCCATCGCCACAGCCGGGAAGAGGCTGCGGGAGCGGCGGGGCCGTTTGCCGGGATGCCCGGCCCGGGGTGGCGATCGAACGGGGACTCGGCTCCGGTCCCCGCCGCCCCCGAGGCGGTGAGGAGGGAGTTCACGGCCGCGGCTCCGGTCCCCGCCGCCCTGCCCGAGCGCTGGGCTGGGGACCGGGAGGCCTCAGCCCTGATCGCCGGGCAGCCGCCGAGCTGCGCCGGGCTCCGGGAGCGGGGGAGACGCTGAGCATCCCCGGAGCCGCGGGAGCCCCGAGCCGAGGAGCGCTCGGTCCCTGCCCGCCTGCCGCAGCCGCTCCGAGGCGCCCCAAACTTCTCGGGGTTCGCCACAAGCCAAGCTGGCCCCGGCGAGCCCCGGGCCGGCGGGGACTGAGCGCGGGCGGCGGGGCGGGATCCGGGATGCGGGACGCGGCGTCTCCGGGTCCCGCCGTGCCCCAGCCCCGGTCGAGCCGGGGATATTATAAAGGGGAAAAAAAAATACCCCCCCCTCGCCCGCCGCCGCTCCGTGACGCTTTTCTCCTGCGACATCGCTTCAAACGCGATGCTGTCCCCCCTCTCCCGCCGCCCGCGCGTCCCCGCGGGGCTCAGCCGGCCCGGGGGTCCGTGACCCCGCGCCCGTTCCCCCGGACCCCGCCGGGCACGCACGGCCCCGCTCGGAGCCCGCTCCCGGCGGAGCGGGGCTGGGGCAGCGGGCCCGGTCCGTACCGCACGGAGCGGAGCCACGGGAAGCGGCGGGGCCGAGAGATCGCAGCACGCAGCCGGGCAGCGCCCGGGATGCGCTGGAAGCGGTGCCGGGGATTCCCCGTCCTCGGAGCGGGAACTCCCGGAGCGGGAAGCGGGGAGCGGGGGTCGGGAGCGGGGACCCTGCCCGTACCTCGCACCAGGATGCGGCGGCAGTAATCCGCCTCGCCGGTCCCCGACGGGCTCTCGGTGTCCGGGGCGCACTCCTTGGAGGAGCCGGGGCTGACCGCCGACGTTCCGGGGATGTCCTTGAAGCCGCCGCCGCCTCCGCCGCCGCCGCGCAGGGCGCTCTCCAGCTCCGCCCGGGTCGGCGCCTTCTCCCGGGCCCGCCCGGTGGCCGCGGGCTCGGCCAGCAGCACGGGGCTCCCGCCGGGCTCGGCCCCTCCATCGCTCATCCCTGCGGGCGCCGCGGCGGGATCAAACATCAGGAGGGAGAGAGAGAGACGGGGAGAGGGAGACAGGAGGCAAGACTAGGCGGGGGGGGTGGGAGGGAGCCCCCCCTCCCTCCCCAGACCCCTTCCCCTCCCCGCCCCTCCCCGGCCCCCCCGGGGCTCGGCGCCCCAGCTCACCCCCATGGCCGGGGACCGCCGGGGGTCGTCACCTCCCGCCTCTCGCCCGCTCCCACCCGGGGGGACGGCATTTAAAGCGCGCCCCCCTCCCCGCTCCACCGGCGGGGGTGGTACCGGGGTGGGGAGGGTGGGGGGGACCCATCGGGGCGTCCCGAGAGGGTGCGAGGTGGGGGGAAAAAAGGAGTTTAAAACTTTGACAGGCGGCTGAGCCCCCCCCGCGCCCCCTCCCCAGCTCCACCTCCCGCGGCACCTCGCTCCGGGCAAACTTCAGCCGCTCCGGCCGCAGCCGCTGCCCTTCCATGGGGCGCCGGTCCCGGTGCGGGTCCCGGTCCCGATGCCGGTCCCGGCGGGAGCGGGCGGAGAAGCCGCCGGTGCCCGGGCTCGCCGCGCTGCGCTGGGATTGGCGTGCGGGGAAATCAATACCGGGAGATGGGGGGATGATTTTAGGGGGAGTGGGGGGCGGGAGGGGAAGGGGAGGCCGAGGGGAGGGAGCTGCGGAGGAAGCGGCCGGGGGTGGGACCGGGGAAGAAGCCGGGTCCTTATTCCTCCGGCCCGGCCCTCCCCCGCCGCCGCGCTCGGCTGCGCATCCCCGGCCGCCGCCGGAGCCGGGAGCGGGGAGCGGGCGGCGGAGCCCCCGCCGCGCCGGGGAGCGGCCGGGGGGAGGAAAGGGCCGCTTTTAAATTAACGGCCCGGTACAGACGCAATTTCCTGCTCTCCCGTGCCGTGACACCGACTGGTAAACAAAGAGCCCCGGCAGCGGCGGCCGCCCGGCCCCGGCTCCGGCCCCGGCAGCGGCGGGGGTGCCGCCTTCCCGCGGGGCTCACCCACGGGAACCCCCCCGGGCCGGGGAAGGGCCAGCCGAGGTGTAAACGAATAAAAAATATCCCCCTTCGCTCTGCCCCTCCCCGGGCCGGGCGGGGGCTCGGGGGGCTCCGTTTCCTCTTCCCCGCGGTGCCCCGCAGCCCGGCGGTCCAAAGAGCGCCCGCTGCTACCGCAATTACGCCACCGCCTCCCCGGGATGGGGCTGCGGGGGAGCCCCGAAATCCCCGTTAAGCGGCACGGCCGCTCCCGGCAGCGGCGGCAACACCGGCACCGGGACCGAGGGAGGCGGCTCCCGGTGTCCAGCTGGGGCTGACGGACTCCGGGGGTGTCCCGGGCAGTCCCCCGACTCGGGGGGGGCCGTTCCGCCTCTCTCTGCAACGGGGCAAAACCCGGCGGAAAAGCGGCGGCGACACGTCCCCGGAGCGGGCGGGGGCGGCCGCCCCATTCCCCGTGACCCCCCCGGGCCCCCTCAAATAGAAACCGCTGCAATACTGGCGGATTAAAAAGCAATAAATTAACTGTTAACCCAAGCGCACCTGAGAATTCGCACCCCCCCGACTACCGCCGGCGCCCCGCCGCTCCCGCAGCCCGGCACCGGGCACTGCCCGGGGTGGGGGGGCCCGCCGGGTCTGAGCCCGGCCCGCTGCACCGGGAAGGAGCCCGGCCGAGGCGGGAAGCGCCCGGGAGTTCAAGGCCTTGTGCCGGCGTGGTACCCGAGTGTCCGCGTCTGCGGCGGCCTGGGCCCGTCCCTGGAACGGCCGAACCAGCGCGGAGCGGGGAAAAACAGACTGGGGGCAAAAATAAAACAAAAGGGAAAAATAAAGTCACGGGAATAAAGGAAGTAAAAGGAAAGGAATGGAATAAAAGGGAGAAAAAAGGAAAGAAAATAAAGCAAACGAAAAAGGCCGAGCGGGGAGCGCGCGGGGAGCTGGGCCGCGGAGGACGGGCCCCGCCGAGGGCCGGTGGTCCCGGCCCGCACCCCCGGTTCTGCGGGGCCCAGAGGGGCGAGAAGGGGGCGGCGGGACGGGGTCGCCGGTTCGGGGTAGGTTCTGGCCGCCGTAGCTGGTTCCCCGCTCCCGGTTCCCCGCACCCTGCTCCCCGTTCCCGATTCCCGCTCCCGGGGCTGCGGCGAAGGCGGGCCGGGCTCCGCTCTGCCTCGCCACCGGGCCCGGGGGTGAATGTGACACCGGCAAAGGGTTTTGAGCGAAAACCAGGAAAAATAACCCAAACCCACCCCACCGTGCGGCCCCAACCCCCCCGGACCGTGCAGAGGCGATGCCCGGCGGTCACGCGTGGGGAGGCCTGCGGGCCGGTCCCGCCGGGAAGAGGGGCACAGCCGCCCACCGGGAGCTGCAGGAACGAAATATCTTCCCTCCGCCGAGCTCCGGCCCCGAGCGGCGGCTGAGGCCGCGGTACGACCGGGAGAGAAGCGGCCCCGCCGCCCGCTCGGTCCCCGGTGCCCGCTCGGCCCCCGCCGCCTCCGCACGGATCCCGCTCCCTTCCTGCTATTTTTTCCCGTTATCCCTGCGATTAACGTTAACAACGACGGGAAGGGATTTGCTCCGGGGGAAGTGGAAGCAGGGAAAGGGAAATGCCGGGTGCGGGCCGTCCCCGCCGCTCCCGGGAAGGGGAGGCGAGGGGATCCGCGCAGCTCCGCGGGCGGAGAGCGGAGCTGGGTCCTCAGAAAAAAATAATAACACTAATAATAATAACAATAATAATTTTAAAAAAGCCCTTTTTTGTCGTATCATTATTGTTGTTGTTGGGTTTGTTTTGGTGGTGTCGTTACCGCTGTTGCTGTTGTAATTAGTGTTAACATTAGTGGTATTAATGTCACTAGTAGCGTTACTATTATTTGTAGTATTACCGCTGGCATTAGTACGGTTGGTGTTAGTACGATTGGTATTAGTGCTATCGATATTAGAGCTATTAGTGCTATTTATTGGTATTATTATTATTATTATCGGTATCCCTGTTTTTTCTCGCTCCCGGGGCCGTGCCGAGCAGACCCAGCCCAGGGAAGCCCGGCCCGGGGTGGGAGCGGCCGTGCTCTCCCGGAGCATCCCCGTTCCCAGCGCTCCGGCCCCGCCGCTGGCCCTGCCGAGCCCCCGCATCCCTCTCGAGCCGCCGCCCCGCTCCATCTCCCCCCTTCCCGCCGCTCCGGGGGCGGTCATGGAGCGAAAACCCACAAAATTCCTTTATTTTCCTGGTTTGCAGCCTGATCCGCCGCCCGGAGCGCCCCGGGCCCGCACCCCGGTGCTCCCGATCCCGCCGGAGATGGAGGTAAGGCCAGGCCGGCGGGTGCCTGCCCGGCTCGGCTCGGCTCGGTGGGCTCGGCTCGGCCCTGTGGGCTCGGCTCGGCCCGGGCCCGGCTGCGGGTGGTGCGTTGTCGGCCGGGAGCGGAGCCGGGGCCTCCCCAGACCCCGAACCGGCCGCCCCCGGTGAGTCCCGGCCCGCTGGGCTCACACCAAGCGCGGCTCGGGGGGCACCGGGGGGGACCCTCCTTCTCCTCCTGCTCCTTCCCTTCCCCGCGAAGGAGCGGCTGCCCCGGGAGACCCCCGGCCCGGCCTGGTGCTCCCGGGGGGGGGCCCCGCCGAGGGTCCTCGGGGCCGGAGCAGCGAGGCCGCGGCCGGGCCCGGGCCGGGAGAGCGCGGAGAGCCCGGGGACGGTGCAGGGCCTCGGCGGGCACGGGGGGACTGCGTGGGAACACGGGGGACTGCGTGGGAACACGGGGGGACTGCGTGGGAACACGGGGGACTGCGTGGGAACACGGGGGGACTGC